GTGCAAGTTTTAAACAGGATCCAAACTGCAAAGAGGTCTACTCAATTGACAGGTCAATAAAGCAATCAGTCATGTTTTCCACACTATTGTTTCCAGTATTTCTGATCTGTTTTAGGACATCATGTCATGTCTAAAGACATCAGGATGCTATTGTACTAAGATTATCTGGAAGCTTAACCCTCTGTGTTGGTGCGTGGGACTAGCAGGTTATAAAAGTGGCTGTCCGTGGGCTGAGATTTTGTCGCTGGCGGGGAGAACCACTACCCGGTCGCATGCTGTCGTAAGTCGCTGCAGGGGTCCTGGGTGATCTTTCAGGAAAACTGCAGCATTCAAGGCGAAAGGGGTCTTTCCCGACTGAACCTGATTGTCCTTGTTGCAGCTCCATCGAGGCTTCCCGAAAGTTTGCTTTCCCAAGCTGGAAACTCCTCAGTCCCTCCCTTTCTAGTGACGCTGCAGCTCCATCGTCAGGGTGGTCCTCGCTGGTAGAAGGCCAACTGGTGTGCCGTACAGAGGCCTTCCAACTGGGCAGCTCATCATGGAATCAAGGTTGAGGTCCCCCACGCTCCCTCTCCTCTCCCGGAAGCCCTCTCATCTCCCCCAAAACAGGCCTGCCCTCACAGTCACCCTGGGGAACTGCAGGGAGCAACCTAGAAGGAACCTGAAGTTTTCTGCACCCCTCCGCTTTCCTCCACTGCAGAATCTGACAACATAGTTCCCTAGACAGCTGCAAAGAGCGAGTGCTTGGATACCTTTTGGTTTCCTAGGTTAGACAGATGCTTTGGATCCCCTTGGATTAGAGTCTTGGACGGGGACTCCAGAGATCTGAATGGGGTTTCAGTCCCCATTCAGGCCTCTCCTCTGATAAAATGGAGAGCAGGAAGAGGGACTCAGTGCAAGAGAATGCAATACTGAATAAATGCATAAATAAACAACGCTGCTCCTGGTGGGGCTCTTGATACAACCCTTAGTTTCTCCTAATTCAAGAGAAATGGGTGGAACAGGAGGCTGAGCTGAGTTCAGAGGGACGCTGCACCGTTAACGAACTGAGCCTCTGAACACATACTGCATCCCCTTTAAAAGCAAGAGGTTGCACAAGCAGCCACTTCCAAACCCTTGCATTCCACAGCTTGCTGGGGCAATCTGGGCTCCCTCAGAAACTTTTCAGGGGTTCTTCAACGAGGAACCCCATTAAGACGGCTTGCCCAGCTCAGTCCCCACTGCTCTGGGCAATTCGAGGGAGTCGCAGGAGTGCTTCAAGGGCGCGTTCGCAGTTCGCACGAGGCACCCGCAGGGATGGTCCGCGTGCTGTGCAAGTGCTCTCAACATGTCCCAGAATGCTTTGCAATGCGCAATGGCTCCATGGAGGATGGGAAGGGATGCCAGCGCATTCCCTCAAAGCAAAAACAAAGCTGAAAATGGTTTCTTTAATCCTCTATCTTAACCCATCTTGGACCGTAAGGACCACTTAAATATAGTTTGTTATCACCTTCAAAGCCCTGAACGGCTCGGGACCTGGTTACCTAAAGGAGCGCCTGCGTCCATATATGCCCTCCTGCCCCCTGAGATCGGCGGCAGAGGCCCTTCTCCGGGAGCCCTCCGTGAAGGAAATTAGGAGGGTAGGTACTCGGAGGAGGGCCTTCTCTGTGGTGGCGCCCCACCTATGGAATGCGCTCCCCAGAGAGGTCTGCCTGGTGCCATCGCTATTTGTTTTTCAGCGCCAGGCCATGACCTTTTTATTTAAACGCTATTTTAACTGTTAATGGTTTATTTGATTTTAAATTGACCAGGCTGTTTCAGCTATTTTATGTATTTTATTTATTTGATGATTTTTTTGTATTTTATGTGGGATTTTAATGATGGTAAGCCGCCCCGAGGCTTATGTGACGGGGGTGGCATATAAGCTGTCTAAATAAATAAATAAATTAAATAAATAAATAAATAAATAAATAAAATATAGGTATGTGTTTGTGTTTGCTGTTTTTTCCCTCCTCCTCCTCCTCCTCCTCCGGCCAAGATAGTATATGCGTCGTTGCAGAAGAGAATCCACACAGTCAGGAGTGTCATGAACGGCTATATTAGGAAGAAAAGAACTCCGTTCCCGTGAGTTGAACGCTGCCTCCGAGGTCTCCAAGAATGCGTACCTCCTGGCTATTGTAGTCACTTTCATTCCTGCTTCTCTGAACATTTTTGGTAATTCATTCACTCCGGCAACACCCAGCTGAGGTTGGCCTCTTCCCAAGGGGAGCAAGACGAAACAGTCCCGTTATTCAGAGAGAAGGGCCCGGGCAACCGAAGCTGGCACTCGTTTCCGAAACGCCCAGCGCTTCTGCCGCAAGGGCGGCCTCTTCGCAGGTCCAGCCTCGTGTGCCACGTCATCCGGCCTGTGACGCTCTCAGCCACTCCTAGTTTTAATCAAAACGTGCTACAGCGTGTTGCCTACAATTTTGCTCCAAAAAAAAGAAAAAGGAAGATAAGCTGTTTCGACGGTGTACTGATTTCGACCACCATCCTCAGAATCGGCGAAGGCTTTCCCAGGAGATTGTGGGTCTTGGTTAGGGGAGATGATGCGAGAGAAGGCTGGTCCAGAGCACTTTGTGAAGCAGAACTGGACCAGCCTGCCTCCTTGCCTACGACAAGGGTCTTGTGGCACCCGCAACGAGGCCTTTCTTGGTGGAGCTGGTCTCCATCCACCTCCCTCTGAGATTCATTCATTCATTCACTCTTTTTTCTTTCTTTCTTTCATTCATTCATTCATTCATTCATTCATTCAAAGTTTTCCTTTTATTTTACTTTAAAGTTTTAAGTTATTAAGTTATTAAAGCTATGTTAATATTATTGAATTTTATTTGGCCAGGGCGGCTTGTTTTATAGTGTATGTTTTATATTATATATTTGTATTTTATTGTATGTATTTTAAAATGTTATTTTATTTTTTTGTTGTAAGCCGCCCCGAGGCTTCGGCGAATGGGGCGGCATAAAAATGTTTTAATAAATAAATAAATAAATAAATAAATAAATGTTCAGGGCTTTTTTTGTCATAGAACGCACCAGAACAGCGTTCTGGCACCTTTTTTTTGACGGATTTTTCCAACGGATTCTTCCAAGTGATTCTGAATCACCCTGTCAGGCGTAGCAGGTTGGCGGCAAAAATCATTAAAATGGTGCCTGTGGGCTGCTTGTGTGTCCAGCTGATTGTGAGGGCACTGCTCAGCTTGCGATGCTGCTCGGCTTGGGATGCTGCTCGGCTTGGGATGCTGCTCGGCTTGGGATCGGTCGTGTGGTCGCACGCTGAGTGCTTACTGCCGGTGGCGACCATTATGTTTGTGTGTGTGTAGAGTGACTGGCTACGTGCAAAAGGTAGATAATTTCTTTATTTTAAAAAAAGTTGGTGAATTGAAAAACCTTTTTAAATTTTTAGTGTAAAAGTGTGACCCCAAATTTTAAAATGAAAAAAATTACTAATTACTTCTCAACCACCGATCCTGCTAATAAAAGATTACCCTAAAAAAAACCCTAAATAAAAGATTAACAAGATATGCATTCCGGCACTTTTTTTTTTTTTTTACAAAAAAAGCACTGGTTAAAACTTTTATTTAAAGTTTTTTATAGGAGCTTTTGTCAGAGTCTTTTTACTAATGGCGGGAATGAATTACAGGACCCAGAGGGAAGATTGAATGGCCTTGAACCCCAGTGTTTTTATTGGTGAGATCGCCCAGGCCCCCCGAGTTACCTACGACAGCAGCCTACCGGATAGTGGTCTCCACTGCCAACTGCAAGCTTTTAGAACATACACAGAGTGTTTTACAGATTCTGATCACATGGGCCCAGCAGTTGGGCAGCTGATGGCGAAATACAGAGAAGGCAGTCAGCAGGAGAGAGGTCTGCAGAGGGGGCTCAGTGCAATGACATCTGATTGCGGGATATTAACGTAACGATAACTGAGGCACAGGGAGTATGGTGGGTCTTGGCGTGCAAATAGGGGTGATTGCAATGCTGTTAACCTGATCGGCTGATCTTAGCCTGGCAGCTTCTAGGCAACCTGTCAGTTCCCACTTCGTAAACTATGCAAATGCTAACGAGTAACCAGGCTTGGCAATCGGGCGCTTTCTGAGAAAGGGGTGCAGGTTTGATTTTATAACACAAAGGCACATCTAAGCAACCCTTTTCTGCCAGGATTCATCTGACTTTTCCCAACACTATTCACGGTAGTGAACCTACTTGGGGTTGGCATTCAGCACCTGGATGGCACCCAAGGGCTGATGTCCCACAACTTTCTGCTCATGAGCCAAACTCAATTTTGGTGAAACTCTGAGTAGGCCCAAGCGAGTGGTAGGCGGAGCTAAAGACAACAGGGGTGGGCTAACTATGCCAATATATTTACCTGTAAGGGGACCATCCTAGGCAAGTTCAGACCAAAGAAAAAGTCTACAACTCCCAACATGCCTCAGCAGGTTTCTAAACTTGCCTAGGATAGCCTCTTGAAGCTCTTCCTGCCAGCAACTGAGTTCTAAGAGAAGTGTTTCAGCTTTTTAGAATGGGGGGAATGCACAAAATTTGGGAAACCATGAGTGGTTGAGAAAAGGGGCAGGGGACAAGAACTTCCGAGACCCAGAGGGCCAGACTCGGCCTAAGGACATGGCGCCCAGTGTCTAAACTGACTTAGTTCCGCCATGCCTGGGAGACACATCTCTCCTCCTGCCTGGAGAAAGAATGAAAAGAGCAAGGTTGGAACAAATGCTCTCTGCTCCTTCTTGGGCTGCTCCACGTTCCTCCTCCTCCTGTTAGTTCTGCTCCCACGAAGATTCTGAGCTGCAGCCTCAAACTCCAAAGCCCCCCTGCAAACCCTCCGTGCAAATACTCTTTTGGGGTCTATAAATATTTGGCCAATATTTACTGCTCGGAATCAGCTCTTTTCTCTTCCTTTTTAAAGCCAAGCACTCTTCAGCTGTCGCTAACCAGGAACAGTAGCCGGCGTGACAACAGTGACGATATTCAACAGCTGACATGCATCAGTAGTCAACGCTTTATTATTAAAATGGATTTATAAAACCCTTTCTTAGCATATAGTACTCCAAGTGCTGTACAATAAGCTCAAAAAAAGAAAAAATGCTGAGCGCAAAATAATGGCAAGCTAATAGAAATACCATTCGAACAACCATCTCAGTCCACAGTAAATACACCCATTCATGCTACCAGGTTTATTTTGAACCAAGAAATGAAAGGAACACTTAATAATGGACATGCAACAGCAGTTAGCAAACCCTGTTTTGGCTCAGTTCGTTTATTGAACTAGCCGGGAAACATGCCTGTAATAGGTGAAAAAGTACAAACCGCTGGATTCTAATGGGAATCTTATTCAGGAATGTAAACGTTGAATTCTGATTTTATAAAAGTATTTGAAAAAGTGTTTTTAAAAAGTAATTTCAGCTCTAAAATGGGAGTAAAGAAAAATGTCCTGATTATTCAAGGGCACCTTCTATCTCTTACAATTCACTTTCCATCTGGAACTAGTTCCCTAAGCAAATAAACAAAATTTAGGCAGGAATTCTATCGGCATTTACGAGAAGTATGCCCCTTTGGACTCAGTGATTAAATTCAGACATGGGTCAATTTGAGTGTGGGCTGAAGAGACTTGGGTTCTGGCAAAAATGTGGGTTATCTGGTTGTCTGAACCCAACTGCACGAACAAGCCATGGGTTGCTACCCACAGACAACCACAAAGAGAACCCATGGTCTAGGACTGAGTTGTGAACGATGGGTTACTCACCATGGTTTGCTATCTTGGCTAGCTTTAGACACAATAAGCCATGTTTGAATGACAACCCATACTCAGCCTATGCCCAACCCAGAATGTGGGCTACTGTATTGTCTGAACCCAGACAGTGGGTCTCACTTCTGAGGACATATGCACAGAACTGTGCTATCATACTCCAGTTTGATTTCCTGGAAGTAGATCTCATTGAGCTCCGTGGGACTCCCTCTGCTGTAATCCTTGCCATTAGTCATGCTGACTAGGGCTGATAGGAATTGGAGTGCAAAACATCTGGATGGCACCCCATTCTGGTGCAATACAGATTCTAACTCCTCTAACCCAGCCAGTCCTACAACATGTCATTGCGCATCTTACCAGCACAGTCCTATACACATAACATCCTCTAAACCCAGCATGTATCAGCTACTATGGGAGATTGGGGGATGCTGGGAAATGTAGGCATTTTCCTGTTTGATCTTGCAGTGAATTACTAAGGCTCCCAACTCTACTCGGAAGAAAGCTCCACTTATATGTGGTGGGATTTACTTCTAAGTAAGCAAGATTTTGATTGTTCTGCAATTCAACAAACCTTGCAAGCCCCGTGCTGCTAAACTTAAAAAAGGCTAGCATGTAAAACAAAAAATAGGGGGAATGAGACACATCCATGGAGGGTTTGTCCCTTGTCATAATAGCTACATATTGCCTTTGGTTCTGGGGACAGAAATTGCTTTTGAAAAGAAATTCCATGGTGAAGAATATTTCGACAAAATTCTCACAGCTTGTGCTTGGATTTCTTGCGCTTGCCTTTCTCTGGAGGTACCTCCGCTTTCATTGCACAGGCACCTCTGTGTGGCACAGTTCTCACACACTTTACTGCCATCCCAGAGAAAAATCACAATTACGTAATTCCTTCTTGGGGATTTTTCAGACCAGGAATGTGGGCAGCCAGGGAGGATGCAAAGCAATGAACGGATGTGTGAGGAAAAACCCCCAAACATAGCCACCTCACAGCAAAAAGCAGCGCCAAAAGGAATTCAAAATAAAACCTCAGGGAATGAGGCAGAAAAATGGAAACTTCTTTCACAGTGGAAGAAAACTTTAGGGGAACGAGAGGGCTGGTTTTGACTCAGCACGAGGTCCATTCCTTCCCTGGAGTGCAGCAGAAGCCAGATGGCATCACACCTGCATTGCGGAGGATGGAAAAGAGGACCGGTGTTCCAACGCAGGTGTGCAGTGCGGAAAAACAAGCCACGCTTCGGAAGAAAGAAACCCCTGGGCTACAACCGCCGCCAACCAGGAGCCCAAGCTGTGAGAAACCGTTGGGGAATTCCTCCTCCCACTGGAGAAATGGTCTTTCCAAAGCTTCTGCCCACAAATAAGATGGAAACTTCCAAAGCTCTGGCTTGGGGAGCCGCACTGGATCCCAAATTTCTCGAACAAAGTGCTTTGGCCCCTAGGTCAACTTTCTTCTGCATTTTTTTAATTGCACACGAACAAAAGTAAATACAAGCCAGAAGAAAAGCGCATGCCCTATCCATCCAACAGTCAGAATATGTGTTAGAGAAAACAGCATTAAAATTGTGGAGGGGAAAAACAGAACCCTGCAATCCTGGGATGTGAGAGAGGAGAGTAGGGAATTGCCCTTTTCGGGAATTTCTTTTTTAAAAAGCTTTCATTTTCCCAATAGAGCTTGTGGTCACTCTTTCTGTATAAAAGTGCACTGGATCTTAAGCATAACAGATGATGTACCAATTTAATCTTCAGGCATTGTACCTGGTATGAATGCATGTATCATTTTGCAGTCTGATATCTAAATGGAGAACCTACAACTTTTAGGACACAATCCCACGCATATTGAAACAGAAAAAAATCCAACAGCTCCAAGCATGGCTAGCTGGGGCATATTGGGAATTGTAGGTTTCATTTTGGTCTAAACACACATAGGATTGCATTCTTAAAAGAGTGTGGGTTTTCTGAAGTGTAGCACATTTAAGTAGAAGGCACACAGATGAAAAAAGAACTGTACTGGTACAGAGGGGTCAACTACTCCAAGTGACTCCAAAGTCTGCCTTCCCTTGTGAGTTTATTCCTAATATCTGTTATTCAGAGATACACTGCCCCTGTTCATGGCAGTTCCATTCAGCCAGCAAACTATAATTACCCTGCTTTGGCACATTAAACAAAAGCCTTGGGTTCCCCACTGTAACAAAATGACATGGATTGGAATAAATTTCACATCCAGAAGTACATCCAAGCAGGAACCAAGATAAAAGGGAGGAAGAACACTTCTAACTAACTGTGAGCCCTTTTTGCCCTTCCCAATTAATTTCTTAAGGTCACACGGAAAGCTCTTGCATTTGGCAGAGTTCAGAGCTGACTGTAAACATTTGAGTCTACTCAGAAATGGTGATGAAGGAGAAGTTAAAATGCCTTGCAAACCCTCGAGTGAACAAATCAAGGAGCGGGAGATCCGGTCAGAATAAATGAACAACCTGGATGATCTCGGATCCTTTCACGCTGGCCTCCACCTCTCCAAGTCAGCCTACCTAAAGCATGCTCAGGGTACAGTCCAACGGAGAAAGTATCCCCTAACCCCCCCTCCCCAGGGGGAATAGGGCACCCCCTGTATGGATTCCTCATGAGATCACAATTCCCTTGTTTGTGCTGTTAGTGTAGGAACGGTAATATCATTGCTGATATTGCCAAAATGCATCCATGCATAGGGCCTGGAGCAATGCAAAGGTTTGTGTCACCTCTGCAAAGGAGTTAAAAATCCTCAGGGAGAGAACATGCGTCCAAAAACATAGCAGCACGAGGAAGGCCGAGCATGCCCAGGGGCCGTGGAATGTTGGGATGGGGAGCAGAATGGAACTGAGCGGCTGAACCCCGACTAATGGCGCCCACACCACAACATTTTCTTGCAGATCCCACTTGTTTCCTTGCGATTTCCTGAGGATGCAATCCTATGCCCATTTAGCCAGACAGAAATTCCCACAACTCCCCGCATTCCTTACATTTCCAAGCTTGTGATGTGATTTGCAGATGCCCAAAGATATGCACACTTGTTGAAATATGGAGGAACAATGCAGGCATCTCTGTCCAAGTGCGCACAGAAATATGCAGGGGTTTTCATCATTCTGACACTGGTCTGAGTCAGAATGGGTCTCAAGATGGAATTTGGAAAACTTCAGGGAGCTTGGGTTTTGATGGCTTCCTCACTGTCAGAGCAATGGGGCAGTGGGACCAGCTGGCTGGAGGGGTGGGGGGCTCTCCCACCCTGGAGACACTCAAAAGAAACTGGACAGCCATCTGAGTGGGATGGTGTAAATGGGTGTCCTGCAACAGCAGGGGGTTGGACTGGATGGCCTTCACGGCCCCTTCCAACTCTACTGTTCTATGATTCTATGATCTCTACCTCCAGTTCCCCCACATGTACCATAAAAACAAGTTTGGGAGATACTGCTTTTTCACTTTAGGGTAACGTGGTCTGGATAGCACAGGTCCTGGGAAACGGCAGGAACGAGCTCATGAATGCAAGCAGTGGGTTGCATCAAGTGAGCGAGTTCAGACAATGTAACAAGGGTTCAATATAGGCTGTCACTGAATTACGGGCTGTTGCAGAATGTGGATTATCGTTCCCAGCTGAAGTAACAAACTAAGGTAAACAGCATACGGACTGCAATCCAACAAAATCTTCATGGATTGTTCATGGTTAACAAATCATGGCTTGTTATCGCAGCTGGGTTCAGACAACCTCAATAACCCACAATTCCACAACAGCAAAGCACACTCAACCCATACTCGACTCAATCCACAACTTTGGAGCGGGCAGATTGGAGAGAAACCCAGGGGGCAGGACAGAAATCTTTGACCTGGCTGTCTGAAGCAAGCAGAGCGCTTGGGCGAGAACCCGGTTTCTGCTTCCCCTCATTTCCTCCAGGCACCATCCATCAGGGTGCACATGCTAATTTGTATGCAATGTTTAAGATCCTTGCTGGGAAAATGAAGCAAATCACAAATCATCTCAAAGGAAATAAATTATTGTATTAATGTGCACCATGACTTTTTTTTTTCGTCCAAGCTCAATTATCCTGCAGCGGAAGCTCTGGGTCAGGGGACTGCAGCTCATGCTTCCCTTAGCAGCGAAATGCCCCCAGCATAGCAATCGAGGAGAGAAAAGAACTTTGCACTGCACTTCAGAGCTCTGGAAAACAGAATTTGAGCTGCATCTAGCGATGCCCTTGCTGGCCAATACGATCTTAAGAAGAGGAACTCACAGACTCCTGCATTGTGTCCATTGGCTCGGGACAGTGGAATGATGGGTTCCTAGCCCAATCAGGATTCCAGACACACAAAGGGAATAAGTACCGCCTTTTACACTTCTGCTGCATGTTGGCAATCCATAGAATAAGGATTGCACCCCACTTCCTGGCACCTCGAATTGACCCTTGTCAGAAACCAGGCAGTCCAACCCTTGGTTTGTGCCAGTAAGAAAGCATCTTAAGAAACAGAAGTCATTCAACAGCTTGTAGAAATTAACCAGCACTGAATCGAATTCTCCTTAGTTCTCCTTTTTCACAAGAAGCAAGCCAGCAAAAAGCTGGGGAGGAGAGAAGTATCTCAGGAACAGCCGTAGGGCGATCACTTTCTGGCCCCTCATTTTTGACTCTCAGCAGGTTTGAGGCAGGAGGTTCGGGCGACGTGGGACTGGTGGTGAAGGAGTGGAAAGGCCGATGCTCCCTCCTTCCTGGAAAAAGCCAAGCCAAGCCCGGGCTTTGTCACTGTGCGTCATGGGAGCAAGAGGGATTTAGCCAATCGTGTCCAGAACCATTTGTTGGTGGAAGGGTTAGTGTAGTCACACACTGTGATGAACTTCAGGAAGCTTGGAAACTCTTTCTTCATGCTTTTGTACTTGACCGGAATGAGGCGCTTGAGTCGAGCCCCTGGAAGAGAAGGCCAACGTCACCGCGCGACAGACGCAGCCCTGTGCCACCACGGCGAGCCTCTTTTCTCCACCCACTTCGCAGAGAGACACAAAATAGCTGCTCAGTTATCCTTTCTGAGCCCTGGCCAGGGTCTGTATAACTTGGCTCAGCCTTTTAGCATCCCTCTTAAAATTACGTAAAGTTGCAAAATTCAACATCGGGGAATATTTATATGCCTCTGCCTCAGGGCCAGGCCAAGTCCAATCACCCTTGGCTTGAAGAGGCACGACACCCCAGAGCTTTACAACTTCTAACGGGTGGGAGACAAAGCCCTTCCCCTGCTAACTGCTGCCCAAGCTCTCCTGCTCGTGGCAGAGCATTCCTGGACCCTGGATCAATGCGTGCAGAACACGGAAGGCAGCACCCGGCAGAGTCCTCTGGCTTGTAGCTTTTGGCCATTTCACCATTTGCTGGAAGTGACGTTCACAACAGTCGTCCTGAGAATTTCGACCGTCGTGCGCCAGCATGGTGCAAGCTGGTACCCCCCAGGGCACGGAGGACTCCCCAGCCTCCATGGCTACCAGCCACATCTGGAGGCACCATACTTGCTGGCTGGGGGTGATGGAAGTTGTAGTCTGACACACCTGAAGAGTACCAGGACAGAGAGGGCTGAAGGACAATCACCTGCAAGGAGTAACAATCCTCGCAGGGAATTCAATCCAAACAGGAGAAGGGACTGTTTTGGCTGAGCATCCATAGGAGTGGAATAGTAGGGTTGGAAGGGGCCGATGAGGACGTGGCCACGTCATGTCCAACTCCCGGCCCAATGTAGGACTCAGGGACTGGGCAAAGGGGAACCTGTGCCATTTTTTCCTAGTTGCCCGAAGCAGGAAGCCACGGCTAGCTATGGCAACGAGTTCTACGCTCCAGCCCAGAGAGGTGTTTTTCTAGATCTTACCTGGGGAGAGGCTGAGGGCAAACTTGGTCTGGAAATCACACTCTTCACTGTCAAGGTAATCATCCGAGATGACAACCACCATTTTCCGGCACCTGCAGTTTGACACAGAAATTGGGAAAAATACAAGGCTAGCCTGCAGAGGAGAGGGAGGGCGGTGGGGGGGGGGGGAAGGGAGCGTTTACACAGGAGAAGGTTCTGACCAAGCCGCATCAGGGAAGGCAGCCATATTTAGAACTTTTTTCTTTTTTTAGTTGTTTCTTTCTTTTTTTAGTAAACCATTTTATTGAAGGGCAGCACATGAATTCTTAAAATAGACAGAAATATTCCAGCTGCCTCTCCCAGCCTTAAAAAGCTTTGGGACAGCACAATCCACCTTCATGGCAGCAAACCCCGCCTCTGCTTGCGCTGCTCTCACGTTACACGCTTCTTAACTCACCGCCTCTCTATCAGTTCGGTAGTGATGGAAAATACAGATGTTCCCGGCAGGACATCTCGGTCAAACACACAGAGCTTCAGTCTGTGCTCTGTTTGCTCCAGCTCTTGGATCATCTCTTGCACAAACTGAATATCATTCGCACAGTAGCAAATGAAGGCATCAAACAGTTCTGGCTTTTGTCCTGTGGAAAACAGGATGTGGAGAGGAGATGGAAAGCAGTAAGATGTTGAACTGGGATTCACAAGATCTGAGTTCTGGGTATCGCTCAGCCACAAAGCTCCATGGGTGACTTTCAGCCATTCTCTGACCGTCCGTTCAGCCTACCTCAGAGGGTTGTTGTGAGGATAAAATGGAGAGGATGAAGAAAATGTTGTATACTGCTTTGGGTTCATTGCAGGGAAAAGGAATTATATGAATACAATAAATAAAAGTAACTAGCTCAAACACTTGTAGTTGCATTAGTCAATAGCCTCAAAGCAAAGCTTTCCTGCCTAGTTACCTAGAAGAGATAATTACTCGCCACAGGTGACCAGGCAAAAAGTCTGATTTAGGCCCTCTTCAGCTCTAATGAGGAACTGCCAATCACTTGTAACATGAAATCAAATGATTTATAAAACTGAGATTTAGGGTGAGCTCCTGTGCATCTCCGGACAGAAAGAAGTCCTACACTTTCTCGCATGTAGGACTTTTTTCTCTCTAAACGTGCATAGGTAGGATTGTGCCTGCGTTCATTTAGGGTTCATGTGTGCTTCTAACGACAGATCAGCTGGTTTTTACCCAGATGCATACATATGCAAGTCTAACTAGCAAATTAGAAGATTCCTCAACTACAAGTCATACAATTGACTAAAGATGCAACGCTATCGAGTTTAGACAGCGAAAAGGGCCAACAACTCCCAGCATCTCCAACCAGCTTGTTTAACTATCAAAACTTCCACAGGACTGTATCTTGGGACTCCTCCTTGAACTGGATGCTCCTCACCTCCTGCATGGCAGAAACTCCACCGCTTTGGCTCTCTGTGAATTGCTCCCACCCTTAGTGACCAGACCAGAATGCTCCCCCCTCCGGGCTCTGCAAAGCATTTTCCCACCCGGACAAACGTGTCTTCCACTTGCTTCCCAGAGGATGCATTTCGATACTATTCTGTGGCCCTTGCAGTTGCTCAGACTACGGCGAGGGGAAGCTTTCCGTAGGACAGGCAATTTTTAGCTGGTGATGCACAGTGCAGCCTTGTGCGTGTATTTCCCTTTCCAAAAGGGATACCAGTGCCAAAACCCTTACAGAACCCTGGTCGCACACGAAGACCTGGAAATACGTAGGCTCTCAGCCACTGGCGTTCCTTGCCATGGGTCAGTAATTTCTGAAGTCACAGATAAATCTGCTTGCACCTCATTGTTCCTGTTATTTTCTTGCACATCATGAACATCGCATAGGAAGATGTGCTGCATGGAGATACAATGGGCAGGGAGGGTGGGGGTTGGCTGGGGATGATAGGAGCAGTGGTAAATTTGGAGGCACTCATCATGAGACTCCAAAATTGCAGGCAACTTGTGATGATTCATGTCAACAAAGCCATTCCTAGGGAGCTTTAATCTGCTAGGAGCATATTTGTTGCCGTGACAAAGACACTCCAAAATATTTTATATTCCAACAAGGGACAATGTTCTGTTCTGAGAAAATTAATTCCCCTGCCAGCAACTCATAGAATCCCAGCTAAGCTTGAAAGAACAGAGATTTCTGAGGGACTGGCAGATAACACCAGCGCTTCTGTGATTAAAACAGTGCCAGCGTCCAACCCTGCAGGTCCCAGGTTCACTACACCACTTCTACTCACTGAAGATAAACTGTCTCATTCTTCCTGGGCTGTCCTCCCCTGCAGATCTTTCTAGCTCACACCAGCTTTATTTAATTGTTTGTTTGTTTATTATTTCGATTTATATCCTGCCTTTTTCCTATAAAGGGCTCAAGGCAGCTTACATCCTTCTCCTCCTCCATCTTATCCCCTCAACAACAACCCTGTGAGGTAGGTTGGGCTGAGAGTCTGTGACTTGCCCAGAGTCACCCAGTTGGCTCCATGGCCGAGCGGGGACTAGAACCCCGATCGCCTGAGTCCCAGTCCCACGCTCTTAACCACTGCACCACACTGGCTCTCCCGCTGCCAAGGATCTTGTGCTTTTCTCACCATAAGGATCGTCCCGCATGGTGATGCCCCGTAGCTCGGATATCTTTGGGTTGCTGCTGTCCACCTCCAGGACTTGCACTGGCTTCTCCGCTTCCTCCTGCTGCTTTTTCTGCAGGTAGTTCTTACACGCCTCCTCTGCAAAGAAAGTCACAGCAAACAGACGTGGGTGAGAACGGTTCCTCCATGGTTTGGGCCCAATGCAGCACTTCAGAGCACAATCCCAGAAAAAAACACGACGGGGAAAACTGGGAACTGCGAGGCTTGTTCTGCATGGGAATGCCCCTTTGCACCCTTAAGGCTGCTGAGAGAGCTTGAAAGTGTGCGTGCGCCTGGGCATGTGTGAACGATGCCGTGTGGACGTTCAGAAGGCCGGCTATGATTGCAGGGTTTGGAAAGGGGGGCTGTGAGGGTGTGTTTGCCATTCCCCACAGTTAGTGCAGGGAAAGTGTGGGAGTTTGCACTTGCCTTCCTTTCAGGCTGGGTATGGGGTCAGTCTTACACCAGATCAAACCATTGGACAACTGAGCTCAGAACTGTTTAGCATCAGTAGCTACTAGCTGGAAACAGAATTGGGTTTTGCAAAGGCATGAATGGTATAATGAAATATGGAATATGGGAATTAATGATAAACTGACGACAGAAATAAAAATTAAAATTTTTATAAAATTATTTTATATTGTTATTTTTTGTATTTTAACTTTATGTTGTGAGCCACCCTGAGGCTTCGGCGAATGGGGCGGCATAGAAATGTTTTAATAAATAAATAAATAAATAAGGGTTAATGAAAGCAAATGAATATAATAAAATTTGGGAAGATTTTGTAAAAGCAGTACTGATAGAAGGCAAAGCCTGTAAACCCAATCAAGATTATATGACTTTCTGGAGGGGATATGGGTATAATTGAAGTATATTATATATTATTAATTGTTATAGTATGTGTATGATGGTAGTATCGGTCTCCGGGGTGGTGGGTGCACTCTTTCATTTATTCTTTTTTAATTATTGTGTTCTTGTTATGTTATATTATTATTGTTGTGATTGTATTTATGGTTTTTTCTGTCAGGGATGGATTGTAAGCTGGAGCTGCAGAGGAGGGTGTTCTGCCTGCCTCTGTTGCCCTTTTGGCTAGAGGGAGTGCAAGGTGCCCAAAAGGCACCCTTGGGTGCTGTGATACCTGTGGATACCTGAGAGTGAAGGGCTTCCCAGTGTGGAACCCACAGTCTCCTGCAAACCTAAAAGAAACCCAATTCTGTTCTTTGACGACATGTTGATAGATTTGTATATATGCATAGGAAATGCAAACATTCAAGCAATTATACACAGGCTTCAACAAAATTGGACCAAGTATCCATACAACAATCCATTCCAAGGTGAAATCTATAAGTCACCCATTCAAACATGAAAATCACCGTAAGGGTCTCAGTCTTTTGCATTCTAAAAAGCAAGGGTTTTTCTTTCCAATAGCAGCCACTGTGGCCTGGTGGTTAGAATGCTTTACTGGTATTCTAGGTTCTGGTTCCCATTCAGCTATGAAGTCACTGAGACTCAGCCTAGCCTACCTCACACGGTTGTTGTGAATGTAAAATGGAGAGGAGGTTTTTGGAAGTAGGCTTACAGGAAAACTGGTGGGATACAAATATAATAAATAGTTGTAAAATATTGTAACAGCTACTAAAAGGGTCCAGAGCATTCATTTACGCAGACCATTTGCTAATTTCCATGAAGCAGGAAAACAATTTAAAAGAGCATGCACATCAGTGAATATTAAATACAAAACTGACAGATGCATTTTTACTACAATTCCCATCATTTCCAACCAACATCAAAGGCACCAGATTGGGTAAAGCTGCTCTAAGCAATGGGTCCAGTAAGGGAGAAAAGAGTGAACCCAACCCGAAGGCTGGTCAAACAGGGGTGAGAGAAACAAACCAGGGTTTGTTGGCTCATCAGCAAGACAATTCTTGGCCAAAGAACAATCCGAAGTCAGTGTAAACCAGGGTTTAGCGTTACATGCAAACACAGCCAGGGTATACTGTATGTTGTGCAATAAGGGTCAGTCCAGTGCCTCTGCACTTCCCCAATCCACACTTGATCTCAGCTCAGAGTAGTTGCACCTACTGGTTCCAGTAAAAAGCAAAGTATTTTTCGGAAGCCCCAAATTTTCCTGCTCCAGCTTTAGGACACCGGAAAAAAGCACAGTGACAGGGATACGTTGGGGGCTACTGGTCTATTTAGCTAGGTGGCCACCACCTCTTAAAAGCCTTTCCCAGCTTCTGTCTTACTGGCAACAGGAAATGAGTTCCGGGGCTTCCTGAGGCAATGCACAATTTTTACCACGAAGCTGTGAGGTCTCCCCGGGCACAGAGAGCCACCCTGGCTCCCTGGGGCGGGGGGGGGGGGCTTGGCCTACCTCACAGGGTTGTTGTAAGGATAAACGCGGGTGGGAGAGAACAATGTCCTCATGCACTCCTTGATAGAAGGCTGGATTTATACATGTAAATACTAATACTAAGCACAAGAGGGCCGGTTTGGAGGCAGCGAGGAAGAAGGCCAGAGACCACAGCGGTAAGCACAGCACAGGAAGCACCCGGCAGGGCTCCTTGGGCCTTACAGGCAGTCATCCAACCGGTGACGCTTTGCCCGGCCCGAGGAGGGGCAAAGCGTCAGCTGGGGAATTGCTCGGGTTGCGGGGAGAGAAGCGGGGGAGGAGGAGGGAGGGGGGGAGAGGAGCGGGGCGGGCGGCCGCGGCCCCCTGCTCACCGATGGCGGGCCCCAGATCGGACAGCACGTCGTGGCGCTCCAGCAGGCGCAGCAGCTGCAGCAGGCGGCCCACCGTGGCCCCGTCGGGGCACCGCGCCGGCCAGTCGTGCAGCAGCTCCGCGGTGGGGTCCGGGCGCCGCTCGAAGTGCTTGATCTCCAGGTAGTCGTAGCCCAGCCGCTCGGCCAGCGCCGTCCAGTCGGCGGCCACCGGGGCGCGCGGGTTGAGGAAGAGCCCCAGCCGCCGCCGCACCGCGCAGTTCAGCGCCACCAGCGGCACCACGTCCGCGCCCGCCGGCGACGGGCGCTCCGACGGCGCGGCGGCTCCGGCCATGGCGCAGCCGGGTGGGTCTCGCCTCGCCCGCCCGCCCGCCCGCCGCCTGCCTGCCTGCCTGCCTGCCCGCCTTCCTTTTCCTGCCCCGCCGCCGCTGTCGCAACTTCCCCGAACGGGAGGAGGAGAGATCGCCAAACTGGTTCCGCTTCTGCTGGCGTGGCGGCTCGCCCGGGATCCGGCGGCGCAGGGCGGCTCGGAGCGGCCGAGAGGCGGGGAGGGGGCGCGGGGCGCGGGGCGCATCCCTCCCCGGGGCGAGCAGCTCCTGCGGGAGCGAGGTGACGCCCAGTCCCAGCCGAGTTTTACTCTCCTCCGCCATCACCCTAGACCTCAAGATTGGATTCGGGAAGGGCGGCCTGCTGGGAGAACGGACGGAACGCGCTGCTGCAGGAGGGGCGGCAGACGGCTTGCCCGAGCTTGGACCGCTCTAAAAGGGGGGCTGAGAGACGTTCCCGGAGGGGCTGGGATGGTTCGGCTGACAGCCAGGCGAGGTAGTTTCTCGGCACCAGCGCAATGAGTCGATCCTGCCACCCCCACTTTGAGGTTTGGCCCTGAAGTTGGTTCCACACTGCTTCCTTGCAGGCTAGAGTAGGCATTACTCCCAAGAAAGGGCCCCATTGAAAGGAATGGCCTTAGTATGCAGCAAGCCCGCTTCGGAGTTTAACCACAGGACAGAATTCCCTGCTGCCTTGCCTGGGAATAAACTCTGCTGGGCACATAATGTTCCTTTCCCCCATGCAAAAATGGTGCAACATAGAACAGAAGCCCATTGCTCAGTGAGGAGCAACACTGTCCGTGATGTTTTCCTTCCAGTCTGCAAGGGGAAAAAAACTTGGATGGCGGGGGAGAGAGAAAAGGTCCTGAGCTTTCATCACCACGGAGCAGAAATTCAACCGGAGCAGCTTTCCCTTCGCTTGGAGCAGCAGCAAAGAGAGTGATAGGACCTGCTGAATTCTGCCCGCCATGCATGTAGCTAGAAATCTGTCATGTAGGAATGAAATAAAAGAATGCCTGCTAGTCCGTTGTCTGGCTGGAAAAGCGAGACAGAAGGTAGATCTAGTTAAGGCAGGGAGTGCTAGGAGCTGAGAAGGGCTTGGGTCTGCGGAACAAAAAAATTCAAAGATTTGCAGGTGCTAATTTCTGCCCCAGAGTCTGTGTTTGTAAAGAACCCTGTCTCCTAACAACACAACTATTTGTAAAAAGGGATGAAGAGGGCATGTGATTTCAGAAGAAACAGAAAGATTTTGGGGGGGGGGAGGCAGCAGGAGGGGAACCATATACAAGTCAAAATCAACCAGTGTTAGGGTTTCTCCAAAGAGTTTTGGGCGATATGCACTAGCCCGCCCTCAATTTAATTGTTACAAGAGTCCTGTAAGGTAGGCCAGGCTGAGGAATGGTGACCTGCAGCTACTTACTCGGTGACCTTCATCACTGGGGAAAGAATTGAGAAGATGAAACACACTGATGCTCAAAGAATACTTTATTTGTCTTAACATTTTCTAGATAAGTTTTATACCTCAGATAATTCACTGAGCATAAGAAAGTAAAGATTGCACTGAGTATTTCAAATATTTTTCTGAACTCTAAGCCTTTTCCAAAGCAGAAGAGCTAACTAAAAAAAGAAAACATCCAAATACAGCTAAAAATGAGGTTTTCCATAACAGATTCTCCCGCACAAATATATATATATATCACTTCTGGGCAATCAGGACTGCAATCCTATGCATGTTTAGAGAGAAAGATATTCTGCAAATCCCCCGGGAACAGCAGAAGCAGGCTGCAAGACATGGGACCTTTTCTGCCTAAACCCTAACTAATCCGGAACTCATCTACTCAGAACCAATTCCTACTGTGGGCAAGATTGCTTACACTCAGGTAAATCAGCATGGAATTGCAGCTGAAGTTGGTCTGCTGCCACCTGTGAGCTGAATATGGCAGCAGTATTTTCACCTGGATTCACTTTTGCCTTGGCAAATGTTCTAAGTTGCACGCAGAATCTGTGTCATGCAGCTTGGCCCACCAGACCGTGAGCAAGCGTTAATTCTCCACAGGCACAACGCTTCGTTAGCTGGCCCTGAACCCTGATTAAAGGTGGAGAACAAAACTTACTGAATTTTGCCTTGTGTGGATTTAATGCTCCTCTGGAAAGTAAATTGACAAAATAAACATGCCTTGGAAACACCGCTGCCTAATGAACTGGATCCCAGCCTCCTCAAGCCTGGACAGAACAATTTAGTTCATCTGGCTGAATTTTCCACAAGTGCCGAAGGCTGGGAATGATGGGTATTACAGTTCCACATAACTGCTAGGCACTTAGGAAAGGTACTCTAGCTGCTGGTGGTATTATTACCATCTCATTTCTATCCCACCTTTCTTCCTCTTGCAAGGTACGCAAAGCAGCTTACTAGGTTCTCTTCCTCTCCATTTCATCCTCACAACAACCCTGTGAGGTAGGTCAGCCTGAGAGTGAAGGACAATGCGAAGCTACCCAGTGAACTTCATGGCTGAGTGCAGATTAGAACCAAGAACTTCGGAGCCCAAGCCCAGCCCTCAAACCAGCCTGCCCCCTAGCTATATGGCCATCACCCAACAGATCTGAGCAAAGAGGCTCACACTAGTCTCGATTGCGGCTACTGGCTTCACGGCAGCCCTTTCTTGCGAGAAAAATAAAAATCCACTCCTCGCTCTTTGTGTTGCTTTGGTGTGTATGAAGGACCTTTTCTCCCCCTTGCAGCAGGACCCTCGGCATTCTGCAAAGAAAAGAGAACACGGGGAAATATTGTCTGGAGAAGCTACACACACACACTGGGGTTGTCTGATTCTACAATCTGAAAGGACACTCATTCACGCCGACACCATCTTTGGTCCCCCCGTGATGGTAAACGGGAAGGAGTCACTCAGGACCACCAAAGAAGAGGAACTTCAGTCTGGGAAAGGAGGCCACACTAAAATGACCATCAGACACACACAGACACACAGACACTTTCTGGATAGCAAACAGTCGCTTGTTTGTCTCTACAGTTAAAAAGAACTCGTTTTAGGAGACGGGGCTCTTAGAAGAAACTGACCAGTAAGTGTGCGCTGTTGACACTGTGGAACCAAACCTGATTGAATAAAACCTCAGTTACATTCCTACATGAGTTCTGGCCCTTTTTCTGGATAAACCTGCCCAGGTGTAAAGGCACCTTTGCTCTCCAACAGGGTTCTGCTTCCCTGGCTGCATTGCAAGGGAATTCCACAGCCATGAAGTGTGCAGTGGCCACTCAGCCCAGCTGACTTCGCTGGGACACGCAGCGGGTGCCCGAAAGCCAAACCCAAGACCAGAGAAAGTCCAGGCAGGCCAAAGGGACGGGGCTGAAACACCGAGATATTCCGGCGAAAGCGCTTGCAGCCAAGCATGAAGCCGTAGGAGAGGCCCTGACGCTTTTCAGGATGGGTGCAACAAACCTGGAAATCCAGCAAGGAACTGGTGCGGCTGGGCCAGGGAAAGAAGTTCAGGCTGTCTGGACCACTGCAGCTTGGATTTAGCCCCTGGGCACGTGCTTCAGCAGACCATCCGACTTACCGGCTTCTGGTTGATGTGCCGTTTCCATGCTGGGACCATGACAACTGGCAGAGGGTATGTGTCACCCAGGCACACGCCCGCCTGAGCGAGGGCAGCATTGCTCAGTGCCCACGGGGTGTGTATATCGCCTCCTCGAATGCACTGCAGTTCCGGAACCCAGAGCCGCACATAATCCCCCTGCCAAAATAACTGTTCAGTGGCATTCTCTTTCAGCAATGAGCATTGCAACATCAAGCAGGGATATGGTTTTTTTTATTTATTAGATTTATATTCCGCTTTTTTCTTACGAACTCAAAGCAGCTTACATCATTCTTTAGGATTTCTTTAGCTACCACTGCAATGATGCAGCAGTTGAGACGATCATGGAGCTAGGCCCCTCCTTAGGCACAGTTGCCTTCCCTCTGGTCCCGGGACCCCATTCCTTGCTCAGCCCCAGGCACATTCCTGCTAGAAGGATCTCAGGTCCATGGACTAAGGGGCCTTCAAGAGCTGTGGCTTATGGTCGTTACTTCCCAACAAGGTGACAATACAAACCATCCGGCTGATAGCAGCCCACAGCACTGCCCGTTTCATGCTCCTCTGCAAGGAAGCCTGAAAGGTACCGAGGAAAGCACCTGGACAGGGATTCCACCTGGACTGCTCCACCTGAGAGTACAGGAGGAGCAGCCGCGTTTTGGGATTCCCACACATTAACAAGAATCAAAGCACTTCCTCGCAAGGGACAGCCAGCGCGCCGGGCTAGTAATCCAGCCTTCCCGACATGCCGGTTTTGCCTGACTGGATGACTAAACAAGAGGGGAAGGCGTGTATGAGAAAGCAGAAACTATGAAAGAGAGTCGAAAGGGCACGCCGGGCGCCTGTAGAAAACCTTTTGTTGTTGCCCAATGCATTTTGGAAAATGCATTTCCTTCATTGCAAGTAGATGTTAGATACATTTTAGAAAACCATCATGTATCTCTTTTGCACAAAAGTGATGAGAAACAATAAAAGGTTTTCCAGAGACTCCCTTTAGGCTCTTTCCCACTAGTTCTCCCAGGAGTGGAGATGCATTTAAGCCCATAATCCCCATGTGCAGTCTGAAGTGTTGCAAGGCAAGGGTCTTGCCCCATGATCACGTCGCAGCTCTCTCTCCCCTCACACGGCAGGGGCAGAGGCTGGGATCTGCCATATGGGGCGGGCCAGGCACACCCCTCATGTCCCTTTGGAATGTACCTCTCTGTGCATTTTTTAAAATCCACGTTACTTTGGGAGCCAAACTTCGCTGAAGGGCAGGCTTCCCCAACCTGGCAACTCGAGATGTGTTGGGCCACAATTCCCCTGCCGCGACCACCCATTTCTGCTTGGACATTTAACGCCATCCATCTTACGCACCGGGTTGGCTGTCCCAAATTTCTAGCAGCTCTCCTGGTGGGTGCCGTAAAATGCGGCTTTAGCCCAGTGTAACTAAAGAAGCAGAAAAAGCCAAACGGCAGCCTCTGGCGTAAGCACTTCTCCAAGGACCTACCTTGCCATCGTAATCCAAGGCTTGCTTAACCATGTTAAACCTCCGGTCTTCTCTCGGGTCGTTGCCAACGCCGGCACTGTACAACCAGTTGCAGTAGTTGCTGCAGACGTCATAATCCACCTTGAATGTGGGAAACACCCCTGATGGTTGTTAGAAAGTGCCCAATAAGATGCTCAGGATCATTTCCTTTCCTTTCCATTTTGCTTGGGAGAGGTTTCTGTTTTTGCCTCCCTTAGATGCACAGGGCGCAATTTGCCTTAAGGGCACCTCCTGGCAGGCTGCATGGATTTCCAAAAATATGCGTTACATGCCACCAACTCATCTCCGACATGCGACGCTGTGAATGGAAGCTCTCCAAAATGTCCTATCCATGTAGATAGATATTCCTGCCTTGCCCAATCACATACATATTTGAACAGACAAAAGTCCTTACAAGGTCCAGCACTAGATTGCAACTTTTGAACAGGAAAGTATTTTAATGGCGGCGAAAAGTTTCTCTCTTCCATTACTCTCCCCACCACATGCATGCACACATACATAAGAGTAGCTATTCATTTTTGCTTTGTTTTTCCATTTTAAAATCAGGATCTTCCATGCACTGTGCATTTTGATGCCAAGTTCTGTGTTTTCACTTCTTTTTTCTCTAAATTGAGATTCTGCCACAAAACGATCAGATTTGATAACTTTTAAAACTATAACAATTGTAAGAAATGTGCATACAATTCTGAAAATGTATCATGCTTTTGGTAGCCATGTGATAATGTGAGGCAGGGAAAATTTTATGTGGTTCCTGTTTTAACACCAACTTGTTTAATTTTAAAGTTTTTAAACAAAGTGAAATTCTGTTATCCTTCGAAATTTGCATTTCTCCGAATGTTGCCAGTTAACTTCTCTGATCAAACATTTTGTATAAACATGTCTATATAAGTGAAAGTAACATTTAAAATATTTTGTACTACGAACATTGAAAAATGCGCACATTAGGCAAAATTGCATACAAACACGCATGCATTATGAGAAAAGCGCTTGTGCGTTGCAATGCACAATTTCTTTCTTTAAAAAACAAGCTGTTTTCAGGAGAAGCCCAATTCAGAACTGAAAAAATTCTTAAGCTTTGGGATGAGCCAAATTTAAGCCTGAAACAACGAGAAACCGAGTGTTTCATCTATTCCTAGGTACATGGCAATAGTGCTGAAGCAGGACACATCACACACCTCTAGGTATGTGAGAAGTCATTCTCTATGGGTAACCCATATTCACACGAAAAAGCTTTTTCCAGGGGTGGTGAAGAAATACACTCAAGCTCAAAGGAATAAAAAACCCAGCTAGGAAAATGGAAAGCAGCAAGGTGAGGATCACCTCTGCCGCTCCTCCCATGCTGCACTGGATGACCATGACCCTCAGGGGCTGATGGGCATTGTTTGCCGTGGGATGTTAGCACAACCTACCAGCAGCGATTCAAACCATTCCGCTCCCATGCGCCAGTCCAAGCCCAAATCTTTGGTCAGGAAACTGGCCACGTTCTGGCGCCCTCTGTTGGACATGAAGCCTGTTGCAGCCAACTCCCGCATGTTGGCGTCGACAAAGGGGACCCCGGTCCGTCCTTCTGCAGGGACAAGAGGTCACACGTGCGTTATCCTAAGATAGGCTCCCCCGGTCTGGGCTCTTCCAGATGTGCTGCGAAAAGGTCCAGAGGTGTCAGACTACCAAGTTGTGGCTTGACCCCTCTGGAACGGCCCGGGCTGGAGAAGGCTGTTCCCAGGAGTCTAGGGCTGCCAACAGGAAGAAAAGAAGATGGATCACATGGCCCACCAACACCCCAGTTTACAGACCTTTCCAAGAGTCAAACAGCTTGGGGTCCTTTTTCCAGGCAACCTCTTTATCTTGAAGACCTGTGTAAAGATTTGGAGGAAGAGGGAAAAAATCAGCAGAGCGCTAAACAGCCGTACCAGATGGTAGAGGTTTGCTTCTACCCTGCTAATGCTAGCTGGCATTTTTGGGCCTCCTCAGCAGAGCCGTAGAAAGCATTCATAGGCTGCAATCCAAATCCAGACAGAAGCTTGAGAGTGATACCCATTGAAGCTCCGCATAGATGGGACCGCTTTGGTTTCCTTTACTAAAGCTCCTGATGAATTAGCCCTGGGAGTGGTCCACACACAGATGCACGGGCTAGCACAGTATGCTAAAGAACCAATCAATACGCATGCAATGTGAGAATCTGGAGGTCTGCTTAGCATCACCATCACCCCGCTAATCTGCAGTGACTGCACTTCGCAAAAAACCACACCAACTCCTCCTCTCCCTGAACTGTTTCCACCCAGGTCACTCTTAACAACTCCTACTTAACTTTCAGGAATGGTTCCTCAGTTCTTTCCTCTTCCCTCCCCATCTCCCTTCCTTTTGTGCCATGTATTTTAGATCGCAAGCCTACAGGCAGTGACTCTTGTTTTTATTGATTTGCAGAGAATTCTGAAAAGCAGAGTAAAGAAAATGTTCTAAACAAACTCACCTCCTAAAAGGAAAATCTTTCTGCCATATTTCAGGGCCACGAAGCGGAAGTAGTCCCTCCAAGTCAGTTCAAACAGCACCCTACACACACACAGGCAGACACTTGTAGTATAAATGTGCAGTCCAAAAAGATTTTGCAGGGGTGGATTTCCAGTGTTGCTAACCACTGTGGGGGACCATGTGTTTGAACAGCAAAGCCTTTGGCCTGATCTAGCAGTGTTCTTCCTTCCAGCAGCAGTGGGAGGAGGCCTTGGCTAGTTCCTCTGGGGTCTTTCAGAAACCTCAAGCAGCCCAAGAGGCCACAAGGACAGAACCTGATAAAAACACTAAAATAAGGAGCACTTACACCATCCCCACCTGTCAGCCACCTTCTTGCACTAAGGTAAGCACTGCAACGCGACATGTAGGGAAAGTTCTACAAAATTCTCAGCCCTTCCCACAATTCTTGCATGCGATTCCTTTTTGCCCAGCCTGCAGCCAATGGTCAAAACTAAACAGACTGGAAAATCTGGCACAGTGCTGGTAACAGCCGAGCATTCGCTTTCCTTGTTGAATCTGCACTGTCAACATCGTCTTGCTGATGGATTTGCTCCGTCTGCCGTCAGAATGTTAATGCTCATCCCGTGACTTCCCGGAAGCCGGGTTGACGGATTCCTCTCCCACCTGCACACACACAAACACACACCAGGCTATTGGTGTGCCAACAAGCATTCCGTGACATCATGGAAACTCGGGCAATTTAGAAGGGGAAAGCAAGACCATGTTGGTTCTTCTGTCCAGATTAATGTTTCCAAAACAAACCGTGGAGAGTGCATCCTACCAATAGGTGCTCTGATTTGCTGTTCTCTCTTTTTCATATTTCCGGATCTGCTCATAAATATACCGTGGGGAGATGCAGCCCAGGGACAGCCTGGAAAAGGAAAGCCACGATATCTTCAGGAAATGCGACCTCTTGGAGTGGAGTGAATGGGTGAATACATAACATGATACAGGTGCTGAGCCTGAGCTCAGGACACCCATTCTTGTAATGCCTGCCCCATCCTAAGGGCTCGGGGAACAAGGTAAGCGATGTCCAAAAGACATAAGGAACATTCACAGACTGCCCGATTGTGCTACCGTTCAGCCTGCAGTGACCCTGCGGAGAGGGCCTCCTCTTAGCCTTTGGCACGCCAGGGACCTGATGGGACAAATGCCCCCTGCAGTTCGGTGGCTTCCTGCCCAGAGCCCCTTAGACCGTCCTCTCAATGACTCCCACGGAGAGGTTGCATGAGCACACCTGAAGGTGCCGGACATTTACCATGGTGCAAACTTGGTTGAATAATCCAGTCCAATCAATCCATTGCGTGTCTCCTTGTAGGAAGCAACTAGGTTCTGAGGAAATAGAGAACAAGCCAATGCACACAAGAGGAACTGCCAGGAAGTGCAAATCAGGTGTGTAATCAAAGGAGAGCTTTCCACAGGTTTGGGCGCCCTCGAGTGGCCGGGAGCAGGAATTACCCACTTGTGAAAGGGGAGCGTGGGGAGCTGCCACCCACCAAGTTAGACCGCTGGTCCGTTTAGCCTAGGATTGCCTGTGCCAGCCTGACCCAGCAGTGTGCCTTCCAGACGCATCTGGACTGCAACCCCCAGAATTCCCAGGCAATGGCCCTGCTGGACGGGAATTCTGGGAGTTGCGCTCCAAATGCCCCCGAAGGCCACCAGGTTGGGGAAGGCTGATCTCTGCTGATTGGCAGCAGCTCTCCCAGGTCTTGGGCTGCACTCTCTCCTAGTCCGACCCGGGGATCGTTCCCCTCCCAGTAAATAAAGCAGAAATACACAGTACAGTGCTGGATCCTTACAGGCACTTCGCTTCATCCCGTGGGGCTTTCTTTTGCCCACATCCACAACTGCATTGCATTTTCCGATTTTTATGCAATGTGAAGGCCAGGAGGTCTGGGTGCTTGGGGCATTGAAACCTGCCCATGACTGGTTCAGTTTTGCACCCACATTTTAATATATCCTTATACAAATGTCTATTAAGTTGAAATCACATTCTTTTTTTTTAATGGCCTGCTTTATTTTATTTATTTATTTATTTATTTAAAGTATTTATATGCCGTCCTGTGGCAAAAGCCTCAGGACAGCTCACATAGATAAAATATGATAAAATATAACATAGATAAAATTATTGTTTCATTGCAAGTGGCTTTCTAAAGGAGCGTGGTTTCACTGATGAAACTGACAGAGTGAATGTTGCATGAATACAGAGATGGTGGTGGCGGACGGCTGCTGGGTGTCTTAGCTCAGCCTTCAGCTGTCTGACATTTTTGGAGGGTGATGCTGAGCCAGACTGCCTTGCTTAGCAATGTTGCCTGCTCCAGCCTGCGATATAAGCTAACACTGGCCTATTTGCCATGGCTTCAGTGCTTCCTCAGCCTTGCCCCCTGATCTTTTCAGCCACGACTACCGGGGCCTGATGCCCCGCATGCCAAGTGTGGGCTACACCACTCTGCTACAGTCCCTCCCTAAAACAGAACAGTTCGTATTTTATTACCGTCTCCCAGAAATAGTGCTGCAGCCTCTTCAAAGCCTGAGTCTCCCCTCCGCTGCAAGGGAAGGCGGAACGAGGATCACTTGACGGAGCTGCCAAGAGAGTAATTGAGGTTGGTGTAAGCCATAAACATTCCTCTTCCTTTCCCAGGTTAAGAACGTGGGTATGAAAAGAGCCTAGAATTAAACAGAAGCTGTGCAGAAGAATATATTTGAATTTGGACCCATAAAGGCCTAATCCTATGAATGCTGGGACAAGAAAAGTCCTACATTGTCCACATTCTCTGACCAATGGGCCATCTCAAAACACACGGGATTGTACCTTTAATCCTGTAATTCCACACACACATAGAAACAGAGCGAGTCAGAAGGGACCTCCCGGGCCATCTAGTCTGACCCCCGGCTCCAGCCGGCTCCACTCATGACATGCCCACCATGTGCATGTCCAGCCTATCCTTGAACACCCGCACCGATGGGGCCTCAACAACCTCCCGGGGAAGCCCATTCCACACCCTGGGGGTCCTAACCATCAGGAAGTGCCTCCTGACATCCAAACTGAACCTTGGTTCCCTGAGCTTTGCTCCGTTGGAGCGCATCCTGCCTTCCTCTGCAGGGGAGAACAGGTCTCTACCCACCTCCATGTGACATCCCCTCACATGCCTGTATGTCGCCAGCATGTGGATTTCTGCCACATGAAGAAGCCTGTGCCAGGAATCCAGCTCCACCTTGGACTTAGTTTGGCCACCAAGTCCAAGTTTTATGATCAATTTTTAAGGAAGGAATTCAATATCTCATAACTGAAACTTTGCTGAACCAAGGCTGAAATTTCACAAAACCAAAACCCAGCCAGGTTTGAAGAAATCCAAGCTTTTCAAACGGGAAAACAAGTCCTCTTTCTTTGGCCAAAACATTGTGCCGATGTGAAAAGGGATGTCTCCGGTAAAGAAGCACATGCCGAGGCAGAACGATCCTCACCTGTCCTGCCAAATTCTTCCAGGCTGGGGACGGGCCCTTCTTCCACTCCTGGAGGCAATGACTTCAGCTGCAGGCTCATCTTTAGGCAGGGCCGGACGGCGGCCTGCGACTCCACGGCTTGCCGGAACTGAGTAAAGACATCGGGCAGCCTGCGTGGGTGGCATGAGAAGGTGTGACGGGGGACAAGCAGCCCGTCTCTTATTCAGTCTGTACTTCTCAGAGTGGCAGAAGCAAGAGGGACTGGATTACAGCCACAAGCCTTGCAGGCAGGGTAAAACTGGAGTTTCTCAGACCTGGAGCACGCCAGATTGCAGAAGCCAAGCTTCTGTGGGCACACGGAGGTGAAGTTGCCTTTTGTGGAACGAGGCCACTGAACGCCTGGGAACATCCCTCTGAAATCTTTCTCAGGTTTCTACCTGCAATCCTTTTTGTTGGAGCATCCATAGGACTGGATTTATTTAGTTGTTAGTTATTCAAAACTTTTCTAGACCGTCTCATTCCCGAAGTCTCAGGACGGTTTAACAATACAAAATGGAAAAAATAAAACACAGCATTCTAAAATTCAACTAACAATAAAACTCCGATTAAAACAGTCAGGTCTTAAAACATTAGGAAAATAAAAAAGTTTTGACCTGGTGCCGAAAAGAATAAAGTGACAGCGCCTGGCGAAACTCTCTGGGGAGCGAATTCCACAATTGGGGTGCCACCGCAGAGAAGGCCCTTCTCCGGATACTCACCCTCCTAATCTGCTTCAGGGAGGGCACCCAGAGAAGGGCGTCTGCCCCAGATCTTAAGGGGCAGGCAGGCGCATAGGGAAGGAGATGCTCCTTCTGTTAACCAGGCCCTAAGCCATTTAGGGCTTTATAGGTCATCACCAGAACCTTAAATTGGGCCTGGGCTTCAACTGGAAGCCAGTGTAGGTGGAAAAGGTCCAGCATTATATGTTCATTCAGGTTTACTGAATCTGAAACCCTGTGCATTGATTCATTTGGCCTCCTCTTTTCCTTCTCCCCTTTCTTCTTCCCATAATCAGAGATTTTCGTGGCTTGAGTAAAAGTGGCTGATCACCAACTTAGGGGCACATGCTAAATATTGAATTATTTTTTCAAACTTTCCTAGAATTGATCTGAGATGCCTGGAGCTGCCTAGAACTGTGTGTGGAGGGGGCACAGTAAAAGCAAGAAGGCATTTAATATACATGCATCCAGAACACCAGGGGCTGCACAAGAGTTCTGGGAAAGAGATTTGGGATCAGAGCTTCATGGACCCAGGCCTGGGAAGACACTATCTGGGAAAACAAAGGAGAGCTGCGAATGGAAGACCGCCCCCCACATCCCCACCCCTGCAAAGTTCCCACATTTGCCGTCCATAATTCACCTGGAAATGTGTTTGAAGGGCAGGTCCAACTGGTGATAAAGAGTTGATCCCCAGAACTTCTGGACGGCCACTCCGAGCTCACTGCATACCTGGAGCAACATCTGTTCCACATCCAGCTCTTCCTTCGTCACCTAGAGCAAAGGGGAGCCAAACGTGAAAGAATTCCCAGTGGGGCCACCATGCCAAATCTGTTACAGCCAAAACAGCAGAGCGTTGTGGCAACGTAATGACTAACACATTTATCCTGGCACAAGTTTGCCCAGACACCAGCTGCTGCATCCGATGCATGAAGAGTTAACTTCAAATTGACAGATTTATATCCCACTGCTATGGGAGGAAACCGGTGTGGTCAGTGGGAAATGAAATGCAGAACATCCAGGGATAATTCTTTTAACAGTTGCCATTCACAAAAAGTTTTGGGGTCATAATGCAACAATGGAATGATGAGATTATCACATGTCGTGTGTTAAAATACCTTTGTCTTTATTCAAAATGCAGGAAATAAAAGTTGAATCTCCTGGTGAATTGTGCACACATACCCAGGCTGAAAAGGATTCTTCCATATTCACTGCAATTATGAATCTTAAAGGGCTTTGAAATTAAGCCATCAAGGGTGTAGGGGGGTGGGGGGACACACGGAATCTAACCGAAAAGACATGCGAGAAATGCAAGGAACCCTGCCTTAACTACTGCAAAACCCAGTGGTCCAGAAATGGCAACACAAAAGCAACTCATGTGGAGCTAAGCACTTTTTAAAAGGCACTCTAAGCTCTGTGTTGGCAGCATTTTCGCTGGAGACGTGGTAGTGTGGAAACAGTTCAGAAGTATCATAGTTTAAAACATCGGTCTTCAGCTAGTATGTTGTGACCTGCAAATAGATCATACGAGCAACACAATTTTTGGCAAGGGATGATCTGTTGAAGGCTGCATAGGATGCAGGAGAGATTCCTCCGTACAAGTTTCCCAAATAAATAAATAAATAAATCCCTCCTTTCTCCCTTTTTTAACACCCTCTTCTCTCTCACACTGCCTAGCAGGTTGCTGGAGAACAGACAGACCAGTCTTGCGAAATTGGTCTGAGCTGATCACTTGCAATAAATGCTTGAAATTTGGCTGGAGGGGAAAGCTTGTCCACTCTCTTGCCCTGCAGTTTCAGGCAGAGCAAAACCTTCCCTAGAATCGCTGTTTGGGATGCTTTTAAGCAAAGCAAGTCTTCAGCAGATGGGCTATAGCTCCTCCTCACCTCCCATCTATTCTTCACACCCTGCTTATTTTCGGAGTGGAAGTCTGGCAGTCCCTTCCTCGGTCCTCAGGATGGAAGAGGTTCCACCACCAATTTAGCCACTCATCCGACTTTTCTTTAAGCTCTGAAACAGGGAAGGGCTTTTTCTTACCTCTTCGTGAAAGGCCACTGCAGCCACGGAGCCAACCTGGACAATGAGATCACGGACCACGTCTTCTGGCTTCCCTTTTCGTATCACTAAATTGCTTGGAGGAAAGAAGACCAGTGACCATGGATGGCAAAGCGACTTGACCTAACACAGTGAATGTATGATTGTTCCTATCTATGTTATGCTGGCTGATGATTTGACTTCTGTGCCTTTTCCCCCTCAAAAGAATAGCTCACCGGTTCATGATGCAGGGATGGGCTAGAGGCTTGAGCGGGAGCGGTGGAAAAGGGAACCAGCAGCCCTAGTCCTCGCTAACCCCTTCTGCTGTTTGCCCAGAAACAAAGAAAGAACTCTGCATATGGAGACGTGACGGGGGCCCTATGGGCGATGAATCATGGGAGCAACGTTGCCAACTTCCTTACTCACACCTGTTCCGGCACCGCACATTAAATGGTAGCCCATGAACAGGCAATGAGGTCTACCTCCATTGGTCGAATTTTGCAGGAGCACACCAGGTTGGATATTTTCCTGGTCCATTGGCAATCCCGTCGTTATTTGTTTTTCAGCGCCAGGCCAAGATTTTTTATTTAAACGATATTTTAATTGTTAATTCTTTTTATTTATTGGTTTTAAACTATTGCCGAGATGCTCCGAATTTTTAAGGTTATTCTATGTTGTCTATCTCTTTGTAAGCCGCCCCGAGGCTTTCTGCGATGGGGACGGCATAAAAATGCTATCTGTAAATAAATAAATAAATAAAATCCCGCTGACATGCCCACATATTTCACCGGATCAGGTATCTCTGATCCTGCAGTTGTCTGAATTTCCTCGGGGTGAAGGAATCGAGCAAAGTGGGGTGCAACACACACATTTCTGGAGTTGCAATACCTGCCCTTCTCTTTGAGCGTCTCTCTGAGATCTTTCACACTTTCCACTAGAAACTGGAGGCGAAATGACCCAGTCTTTGGGAAATTGTAGTGGTGAGTTCTTGCATAGTGCCGGGGATCAAAGCAATACAGTGGAAGGACGTGGTCTGCATTGCTGTTTGCCCAAAGCAGCACCTGTGAAGGAGGAAGAGAGCTGCATCAGAAAATATAAATTCAGCAGCAGGTGCGTTAGGGCCTGGACAGAACACCGAAGAGCTGGGCCTCATACAAGTGAATCCAGGCCCTTCCAAACACTGTCCAAATCAACAAGCACAATGTCTAAATCGGAAGCTCATTAAGAAGTGCATTACATAACACTTTCTTCTTCCAACATGGTGTTAGAGGCACTGTTGTTGGATTACAATTAAGATCTTGCCGTGGTTATTCCCCAGAAAGGAAAATGCACACTCTGAACATGCTTAGAGGTCCTGTTGCCGTCCATTGGGCAACACGGCATTCAGCAGAACGCAACATCTGCATTTCTGGAAATTGCAGATTTCTTGACACAGGCATGGCCGGGACGGAGTGGCTTTGTCTGGCACGGAAATGCGGCGATAGGGAACAATTCAGTGACTGGATTTTGTTCTGACACATGAGTGTCAGATGTTTGACTCTCATGAGTCAAAGCAATTCCCATCAGCCCCAGCAGGCAGAGGCAGCGATGAGAGACAGGGGGATAGCTGTTGGTCAAAACATCTGGGGATAAAGAAGCTGAGCAGCCCCACCCCCAATTCTGAGAATTCACCCTGCTTAAATGCAGCTGTGAAAGGCAGCGCAGGATGGAAAACTGGGCACGTGTTCTATTATTAATAATAGCGACTGATATTATTTATCACACACAGACACACGGGTCAGTGGTGTTACCACCTTTCTTCCTAAGCGCCGGGGCTCCTTGTGCCTTGAACTGCAACCTGATCCGCACGCAGAACACGTGCCGGGGGGGGGGAGAAGAAGCAGTGGAAGGCCCCCAGATTCCCCCTCCCCAGATTAGCTGGTGCTTTAATCGTCTTTAAGCGATGGCCCCTTCAAGCCACACGGAGCGCCTTCAGAGGTGTGCTCTTGCACGGGACATTTGCACGGCGGGCCTTCTGGAGGGCGGGCTGGAGAGCCGAGCTCCTCTCGGCGCCGGGCAGAGCTCCCCGCCCCCGGCCAAAGACCCAGGCGCCGGCGGGCATGCACACGAGGCCGGCGCGGCCGCGACAACTTCCCCGAGGGGCGGCAGTCCTTGTGTGATAAGGGGGAGCGCGGCGCTCCGAGAGGTGTCCGGAAAGAAAGTGCCATAAAATCCTTATCAATGGAAAGGAGGGCGGAATTAAGAGGCGAGCGTGGAAAGATCCCACTAAGGGGCGCAAACCTGGAGAGAGAGAGAGAGAGAGAGAGAGAGAGAGAGAGAGAGAGAGAGAGAGACACACACACCAGAGAGAAAACTAAAAGTCCTACAACTCCCAGCATGCCGAAGCAAGCTGGGGCATGCTGGGAGTTGTAGGACTTTGCGTTCGGTCCAGCCTTGCATAACATTGCGCCGTGCGGTTGCTCCAACGGGGGCGCATCTCGCCATCTCTTTTCCCTGCTGCGGAGGCAGCCTGCGCGCACGCACAGAGGACTAGCGCCATGCGGGGGCCGGACCTGCAAGGCCAGACCGACGTGGGTCCGCCCTGAGCTCCCGCTCGCCTCCGGGGCACGCCGCACCCTTGCGCCCCCGCCCGACCCTTCCCGCGGCTCTACCTCGTTGTCGTGGCAGCGCAGGTCGTTGCGCAAGAGGCAGAGGGCCGTCCGCCGCGCCGGGCGCTCCATGGGGGCGGCCAGCCTGTCCGAGCCTCCCGCCCAGGCCCTGCCCCGTCGGGGACGAGGAGGAGGAGGAGGAGGAGGAGGAGCCGGGGCGCCGGGTGCCTCGCTGTCCCTCTCTGCCTGCGAGGCGGGTTGCGTCAGCGAGAGGCCTCCCGAGGCGGGCTCGTTCAGGTTCACACGTGCAAGGCGTCTGGGTGCGTGTTGGGGTCCCGCTGTTCGCAGAGCGAGGACCCAGCGCCGCTGCCTGTGCATCCGGGACGGTTCTCGCATCGAATTTCTCGGGATGCGATGCTCGGCGTGTTTAGACGGGGAAAGGCCCTCCGCGAGGCATGGCCGGTTGAGACACGTTGGTGCTTGCAGGGCCTTTTCTCGTCCAAACGTGCACAGAATTGTGCCTTAAAGCCGGAAATGTAGGCGTGTTGTCTCTAAAGCCAAAGGCTGCCCTTTGCATTGAACGGGTTTGCTCCCACGTGAGTATGCATGGGATCATAGAGGAAGTTTGTGTGTGTGTGTTTTTCACTTCACCCCATGAGTGATATTGAAATAATACTGAACTTTATTCCAGGGATGGGGTCAACGGTTCTGCCTGCAGCCTGGAACATGTGGATAAGAAAAAGACTAAATTAACCAGCAGTGTGGGAATCTCTTTTCCCTCCTATGCAATATGGAGGTGGTATCTTTATAATCACACTCATGACCCATGTTCCACACCTGGTTCACACATTAACCCAGAGTACAGATTGTATGTGAGTGGCTGAACCTTCTGCATTAACCCACGGGCTGTTAACCACAAACTGTCCACAGGAAGAACCCATGTGAATTGTGGGTTGTCTGTGGTTAACAAACATTGCTTTGTTAGCACCTCTGGGTTTAGCCAACAGCACAACACATATGGTTCAACATCGGTCCAAACTTCAGTGACAACCAGCACACAGTCCATGTTTCTGGCTTGTTGTGCTGTGTGAACCCAGCCCATGCATACCTGCCTCCGCTTCTGCTTATCTGAAATGAAAATGGAACTCTTTGTTTAAGGAGAAAGATAGACTGCATTATATCACGGTTCCCTGATGCAGCCCACAGAATATGAAAGCTGCCCTGCTGGTTTTTGGCCTTTCCAGTGCTCCTAATAAAGGTTGCGATCGCTCCGCTGAAGGAGGGAGGGAAGAGTGGAGTGACTCATCCCTTCCTGTTTGAAAAGGAGAATTTGAGTGGCAGGTCATGTGTGGAGAGGGCACGGGTCAACTGCCCTTCCCCGGGGCAGGCCGCCTCTCCTGGGCATCGGGAGCTAATGGTCACGTCCAATTTGGAAACCAGAAGTGTTACTCCAGCTGCAATAAGCAGGAAGCGAGAGGCTGGGTGTCTCTGTAGCACAGCTTCCCCCAATCTGGCACTTTCCAGCTGCGCCGGACTATAGGTCCCATCATTCCCAGCCAGCATGCAGGCTGGGGATGATGGGAGGCGTGTGCTGAGGCGTCGAGAGCGAGCCAGGTTGGAGTGGACGGGTTGAGCAACCCGTGAACCTTGCTCGTGCCAGCCAGCGTTTCTTCTGTAGCACCACAGCTGCTGGTCCAATAAAGGATTCCAGGGTGTCTTGCTGGCACGGCCGAGATGTAAGCGCGAGTGTAGGGCTGCTCACGCAGTGCGCACGCGGCTCGCGCTGAGATGCCGTGCTTCGAGGAGGGCCTCCGCTTGCTCGATTTGCTCCGTCATGGCGCTTACTCTCAACCTGTTTGCTGCCAGGAGCGAGTCAGGTACGCAGGGAGAGGCTCTCCCGAGTTCAGACTGACCACCTGCAAAGAAGGCGGTCCCGCTGCATTTCTGCTGAGAGAAACATGAGATGTGGCAGGGAGAGAAAAATCTCTTTTTTGGGAAGCAGAGAGATTTTACTCTTCGCTATGTCGGAGTAAATCTTCTGTATGTAAAAAGGTGTGGCATTGGAACAGGCTCCCCAACTTGGTGCCTTCCAAATATTTTGGACGGCAACACCCACCATTCTCAGCCAGGTGTTGGACTTCAACCCCCATCATCCCCAGCCAGCTGGAGAGTGGCAGGGTATTGTTAGTCATGACTTCAGGTGGGCAGATCTATGAGGCAGTTTGCACCATCCTGTCTGCTGACCAGGGCTGTGATCCGATACATCATCCTCCACCAATTACTTCTGGTGGAGGCTGATGGGCATTAGAGTCCAGCACATCCAGGCAAGCCTGCACAATGGCTTTATTCCAGGGGCCATTCAAAGAACCTCCAGATTTCAGCACTCCATTTCCAGGCTATTGTTTCCCTCATTGAAGAGTGTGCTTTGAACGGTGTGATTCACCCATGAGTCATTTTTGGTGCCCTCCAAAGCCCACAGTGGCACAATGAGTGTTTATATTTAGTCATGTTTGGGTGTGTAACACAATGTTGTCATGGATACTTTCCCATGCACACTTGCATTGGCCGTCAAGCGGCAGCTCAGGTTTTATCCCTCGGCGATGGACGGCGTGCGCCGGGAGACCAAGCCTGTGCTGCCTCTGGCTGGTGCAGTGGAGCCCGGGTTCAAAGGGACACGGTGCAGACTCTGTTCTCAGCAGCTGCCAGCAAGATCTGCCACCCCCTTCGAACGCTTCCTTCTCTCTGAGCTTAGCTGCAGTCCTCAAAGTGGCTCATGAGAAATGTATTTTCCCAGCAATAACACACGCTTCCTTGCTGGAATATAAAGTGTTTGGGGAGGTCTGGAGCTGGAATGCTCAATTGAGGCCCATGGGCTTTCCAAAAGACCCGTTCCTAGCTAATGAAAACTCCCACAAACTGGTTTGTTGATGCAGATCAACACAGCTGCCTGTACTTTGGGGTTTCCCTTGGGGTCATGACTATGGGGCTGCCATGCTGCACACCTGCACTTCAAAATGTACCACCACATCACAGCCGAAGTTAGAAGATGTCCTTTTTACCAAGCTTTTGTATATAATTGAATTCCCAGTACATAAAAAGACTGCTTGGTTCAAGCTTCCCAAATTGCTAAGGCAATGATAAGGGAGAGTATCTGATGAAGGCAAGATTTGCCCTTCTCTCAAGATGCGTCTTCTCCACAAATTACAAAACTCGGGTCCCAACCCCTGGGAATAGGTGACATATAAATACAGCAACTGCATCATAAAACTCTCACCAATTTCAACAGACTTCAAATGGTCCAATCAAAATAAAATGCAAATACAATACTATAAAATTCAGTCTATTGATGTAGGGCACGCAAGACAACCAGTAATGATAAACACAAGACAATGGGTGTGTTTTTAAAGCAGCCAGAGACAGAATCAGCCATCTGTCTCTCAAGCGGAAACCTGTATAGTCCAGGACCCCACAAAGATGGTTTCTCTAGTACCTTCCAAACATTTTAATGTGTTTCTAATCTGCCCAATAACTAATGTTTTCAGATTATGCATGCAAGATATGTTGATCGTAAATGTACTATCATGGAGATTCGATACACTGAATTATTTTGTTAAATCCTGGGCATGGTTCTTGTGAGCTGGCGGCATGTTTGCACCTTAAACGGTTCCAGGAGTCTGCAAAATACCACTGGGTGAATGTATACCATCTTTTCTTTTTTAATTACTCATGTTTCCTCTATCCCTGGTGATTTACTAGGCTTCCTCTTTGGAATGGAGCTATTTTTAAATTTGCTACCATATTCCTATTGTTCGCCAGGGAAATAGTTATCTAATGTTGTAAGTCTGGCTTGTCAAATCCGACGTTGTTTGAAAGTTATTCAAGCAATGACTCTTATCGTAAAGTAAGCCTGATCCGGGCAAAATGAAACGTGTGTGACGATTGTGTTATGAATTATGATTTTTTCACTCCTTGGGTCTTGGTTACGTGGGTGGCTGCATGATTCGTGGCCCTCATGTGCAAGTTCAGGTACGCTTGGTGGAAGCTTGTACACAGGGCAGTGGCGATTTTGATAGCGGGAGATGAGAATGGGATTGGCCCGTGGTATATTGGTGTGAGCACAGAAATGGCTGCTGATTGTGTCCACAAACATCCCATTCACACTTGACTTTCACCTGCAAGGAAGGCTGGCACGGTACGTTCACATGGGTAACACACATACGGTGAAAAGAAACGAGAGTAATCTGTTAATAACGTAGAAGGATCCTTGCATGTATATTCGGCCTTTTTTCCTCTTGCAAAGAACTCAAGGCAGCTTACAGGGTCTTCCTAACCAGTGAGGTAAAAAAAATGGAAGCATGAGAATGGAATGAGCAACCTTGAAGTGGGCAGAACCCTGGAGAAAAGCCCCCCACGCTGCAACATTTTGTTGCAGGCGACACATGTAAGTCCCTTGACTTTCCTAGTTAGAATGAAGCTTTCTGCCATCTGGCTACAATGCACCCTCCCGCAGAAGCCATGAAATTGTAGTCCAACCCCTCTCGGGGGCATCCGTTGCCCAAGAGAAGAAACTAAGACATTACAACTTGCCCATGGGAGGGTGGTCCAAAGACCTTTCCCCCTTGTGAGCGGCGGAACGGCGTATTATGGAACAAGGCACGACTGGCTTGCTGAAACCCTGAACAGGTGCACTCCACAGACGGCAAAATTTTGTTGCAGGCCCTGCTGTCTATAACTTCCAATTTCCAACGTAGCCATGGTTGAAGGCCCATCGGCAGGGCAAAGGGCTTTGTGGCCTTTCCCACCACCCTGCAGACCATACTGCAAGAACAGCTTTGGCACAGGCCTTCCTGAATTAACAAAAAACTTGCACTACTCACATTTGGGGTCATTCCTGACCCCAGAACAAAGTGTCTCTGAACAGCCTTTAGTCTGACTGGAATTTTCCGTCAACAGAAGCATGGCTTTCAGCCAGCAGCAGATGATGGCAGATGATTTAAGGTTTAATTTGTCCCAAGATTATGCAAAATGGGAACATCTGTATAACAATACTAGGCTCGCTGACTTTTCATTTTCAATAGATTGGCCTATTAACTTTTTAAAAATTATAGCAAAGCTTTTCCTCATTGGATTTT